ATGCATTGCCTTTGCCTTAACAATAAGTTCTTTTAAATCAGCAACAACAACCTCTACATTATTGTGTACTGCATCATTGCTACCTTCATGTATGATAACTGATGAAGATTTCTTTGATTTTGATTGCTCCAAGGCTTTGTGAGCATCTCTTATGTATGTAGCCCGATATTTGATGGCATATTTATATGTGTGGGTATATATCTGGGGATGGTGGGGTGTGTGAGGGTGACAGTGGGTTGTGTGGGAATGATGGTGGTAATGAAATTAATTTCTCCCAGAAAATCTTAATAACAGTGACATTGATTGAAATTGACTTACATGTTGTACAATATTGTCCAGTATAACATCCAGTACATGTACAGGTATAGTCAGTACAGGATCCTGCCACAGGAACACAGAAACCACCATTCTGACACTGGGAATTCTGACATGCATTTATTTCTGGAAATAAAATAAAAATACAACGGCTACTTTTACCCAGATGTTCATGATTCTGATTTACAAACATTTAACCATGAGTATACTTCAATAAATTCTGAACATATTATAATAATAAATATAATACAACTTTATTACGCAACTTAACCATTTATGGGTTTAGTGAGGTCAAAAATGATTACAAAAGTCAAATGAAATAAGACACACTAAAACACTAAAATTAAAATACACTGAAATTCATCAAAAGAAAGAAATGAAAATTAGAAAATCTCATGTTGTACAAAGACATACTTCAATATTAAACACTTACGTTGGGTACAGTACATTCCAGTATAGCATTCAGCACAAGCACAGGACCAATCTGTACAAGAACCAGGAACAGGAACACATGTTGCACCATTCTGACAGAAACTGTTGGCACAAGCATCTTGCACTGAAGATGAAAAAAAAAAACATTTTACCTTCATATTATGTCAACAAATAACATAACAAGCTTTGACAATGCACTGTCCCATAGCCTGTATTTAATATTTAAAGGTATCACTAGAAGTGATTCACTATTGTGGGTGTACTTTTGGCTAAAGTGATTAAAAGAATATTTGGTTGAATCACTAAATAATGTATTGGGCAACCAAAACCCACTATGTAAAATCAAAATACTAAATTAAGAATTGAATTATGCAAGCAATCTCAGAGAAAAAGTTTTCAAAAACAACTAGTTTGTAACAGATTGCAAACTAAGTTACAGTGCACAATATGTCTCTCAATAGATTGTATGTTTAAATCAATGATTACAATAAACAAAGAGCATAATATGTGTAGAACTAATTTCATAGTATATGTGTGGGTATATTTGGGGATGGTGGGGTGTGTGAGGGTGGCGAAGGTATGTACGACCTAGAAATAGTGCCGTATGCGAGTACCAAGTTGCCAGTTGCAAGTAGCAAAATATGCCATATGCTAGTGGTAAAAACGGCATATGCGAGTGGTAAATTGTATCGTTTGCTAGTAGCAAAAAAGCCCTATGCGAGGGGTAATACAAAGGCTTGTAACGTTTGCTTATAATATAACAACGTACGTTCAATTGTGTTTTATCACAGTGAAATAAAATATTTACCATGGTTATGAAATGATGTGTACATGGTTGGTTAAAATTGGCATGATGCTGTATCAAAAAGTTCGTTCAGTCGCTTGCATAGAATCGATGTTTGCTCTTCACAAAATTGCACAGGAAACGTGAAAGCACAATAATTTAATAAACGGCCATGACCAGCCAGCACACTCCGCATAACATGTGAAAATTGTTTTTTCTTTCGGTAATATTAGTATGAACCTGTGGTCAGCGATTAAAGAATCATAGAATTATAATTGTAGTTAGTAACAAGCAGCCTATCGGCTGAGATAGCTCCGCTGTTAGCAATGCACATTTCAATTAAAGAACTGAAGACATCATTAGAAAATGAACAATATGTATACATGTAGTATCAAAGCAATCGGACTTACAGTGTTTAACAAAAAGTCAAAATATCACTTTCTACCAAAAATGACAAAAATATTCACCAAAATTAGAGAATTGAAGATATCATCACGAAATGAACAAATCTGAGAAAGGTCTACATGTAGTATCAAAGCAATTGAACTTTTGGTTTTTAACAAGAAGTCGAAAATATCACTTTTTACCAAAAATGACAAAAATATTCACCAAAATTAGAGAATTGAAGATATCATTACAAAATGAACAAATGTGAGAGAGGTCCACATATAGTACCTATATATTTAATATCAAAGCAATTGGACTTGCGATTTTTAACAAGAAGTTGAAAATATCACTTTTTAACAAAAATATTCACCAAAATTAGAGAATTAAAAATATCATCACAAAATGAACAAACCTGAGAGAGGTCGACATGTAGTACCAATATATTTAATATCAAAGCAATTGGACTTGCGGTTTTTAACAAGAAGTCGAAAATATCACTTTTTACCAAAAATTACAAAAATATTCACCAAAATTAGAGAATTAAAGATATCATCATGAAATGAACAAATCTGAAAGAGGTCTACCCAAGGTACATATACACCAAGTATCAAAGCATTCAGGCTTGTAGTTTTCAAGAAGAAGTCGAAAAAGTAAAACATTGACACGGACGACGACGGACAATCACTCATATGATAAGCTCCGCTCGACAAAGTCGACAGCGGAGCTAAAAACGGGTGCATGTTCACCGAAGGGTCACGGAATTCTTGAGTCACGCGCCGCCGTTTAAATGAATACAATGGCAGGTTTCAAAAGTAGTCACACCTCGGAGAGGTGTTAAATTTGCCACAACCCAAGTGTTAACTAGCACACAATTCCATAATACATAGTATATATTTGATTTTACTGTGATGAAACTATATCACTATATTACTGTGATAAAACACAATTGAACGTACGTTGTTATATTATAAGGAAACGTTACAAGCATTTGTATTACCCCTCATGGCCCTCGCATAGGGCTTTTTTGCTACTAGCAAACGATACATTTTACCACTCGCATATGCTGTTTTTACCACTAGCATATGGCATATTTTGCTACTTGCGACTTGCAACTTGGTACTTGCATACGGCACTATTTCTAGGTCGTACATACCTGGGGTGGCAGCTTACAGTCACCATAGGGACAAATTATTCCTGACTGCACAAAATAAAATTCCAAATTTTGATAAAGAAAATAGTCAGAATAAATTCATTTTGATTATGGCAAACCATACTCTAGCACCAGCCTTAGCTGTCTTCTTAAAAAAACAGCTATGGAACAAAACAGCAACAACTATCAGTGTATTAGGCCACATTCTGTGTTCATTCTATATTCTGTATTCACCATTGGCTGCAAATTGTCTTTTTTTGTTTTTGACTTGTTTTATTTTTTTTTTTAGAAAAGTTTTTATTTTTTGTTTTCTTTTTTAGATTGTAGTTTGTTTTTTTTAATTTCTTTCTGTAAGACCCTTTTTATCCTTTCCTAAGGATTTTATGCGTCTAATAAAAAAATAAAATAAAAATACCTGGGGTGGCAGTGGGTTGTGTGGGGATGATGGTGGTAATAAAATGCATGGATTTTTTGAACACATGTTGCACCATTCTGCCAGAAACTGTTGGCACAAGGATCTTGCACTGAATATAAGAATGGCAATACAATTAAAATCTGTTTGCACTCCTTTACTGAGGAAACTGTTTTGAGGGTAGACAGTAATGAGGTAGGAAAGAGTTGTGCTGGGTTGATATCTAAGTGCCATAGATGTACGAGAGCCCAATACGAAAACAAGCATGAGCCATGGATTTTCAAGATAGTGCAGTACATTTCAGACTGTGCAACCAGATTAACTCTATATATTATATTGTACATGTCCATGTCAACTTTTCAAGTCACAATAACAAGTCTGTTGATATAGCTCCACTGTACACATTGTAGTTAGACAGTTGAAAATAGCACTTTTTACCAAAAATTATTCACTAAAATTAGAAAATAAAACTTATCATCATGAAATGAATAAATCTGACTACGCCCAAAGTGTCTACATACAAAATATTGAATTCAAGGCATTTTCAAGAAGAAGTCAAAAATAGCTATTTTTACCAAAAAACGACAAAAATATTAAAAACTAGAGAATAGAAGGTATTGTCACAAATATTCATCAAAATTAGAGATTTGAAAAATCTGAGAAAGGTCCACCAAAAGTACATATACACCATTACAGTTGTTTATGCTTTGTGCTTGTATGCAGTAACTCGTTGGCAAGAATAAGTCGTTTGTACCAAAACATAAAATAACGGCGTTATTTGTTGTTATGGTTATAAAATATACATGTAGGTATC